CGAGCCCGCGCCGCCCGCCGAGCCCGGGAGCCCGAACCCAGCCGCGGAACCGAGACGGCGGAGGCGCCCGTGGGATGTGGAGATCGCGCCCCCGGGGCCGCTGAGACTGCGCCCAGTGCCCCGAGTCCCGCACCAAGCCGAGCCCACGCCGAGTCGTAGTCGCCCACCCGGGGGCCCGGGCCGGGGAGATCAGCAGGTGAGCAAGCGCCCCTGCGCTGGGCAGCCCCGGCCCAACCAGAGTCCCTCTGCCTGCCGCCGCCCAACTTTCCTCCCCGAGGGCCGGAGCCTGTGCCCCTGCGATTCCCTTCCCCTGCCCCGGGTCGGCGGGCCGCTCCCTCCCCCATCAGTACCCCAGAGGGTGGGAGCGGTGGAAGAAGTGGCTAGATCGGCTTGGCTGGAAGGGATCCCACCCCGGTGGGGCGTCTCTAATCGTTGGGCACCCCCTCCCCTTCCCTTCCCTTCCTGGCTTCCCAGTGCGCTGTCGAGTGCCGGGGGAGGGGGAACTGCAGCCCCGGCTTCCCGGCGGACCCTGGCGCAGGCTCAGGGAGGGTCTGGGATTGGGACCCGGATTCCCGAAGCCGGAGACCCCCAAGGTCAGAGAGGCGGCTAGGCGCGCAGTGAGTGTGATTCCGGAGACCTGGGGGCAATCCGACCAGGGCTGGGAATGGGGGAAGGGGCCAAGTCCCTCTTTCTTTGGACCTAGAGAGCCGTCCGTTAGGCGAGATCTGTGGGCGAGATCTGTGCCCGTCCCCACCGGGAAGAGATCTCTGTGCACCCTGACGAGGGTGAGACTTTGTGTGTCCTGTTTCTTCACACTCAGACCACGAAGAGATATCGATACCCGCTGACGCCCTAATCTGGCCACTTCTTCGATCTCTGGTCTGTGTGCCCTGAAGACGGAGGGACCTCTGTGGTTCCCTAGTGGAGAGATCTCTGTGCGCTGTGATTGAGGAGAGATCTCTGTCCCCGCTCTCTGACCCCGGAGATCCCTGGGCCCTGAATGGAGGCGGCTCTTGTACTCTGTGGTATTTGGTTGCCTTTGGTGGCACCCTGGGAGGAAGTGCAGATGCCCAGCCTTATCGTAGGCGCCAAGAGCTAGTGAGGAGAGGGCTATAGGCCGGGGTTATAGGCCCGCCTTGCAAACACCTGTTGGAAGCCAGCACACAAGCGAAATGGGAAGAATTGATGACTGAGGTTGCAGCGGGAATAGACCTTTAGTGCTTTGAGCCTGGTCTGGAATTGTGAATGGTTGTGGACCGCCTTTTCTTGGGGTCTTGTACTGGAGTTCTATTCAACCAGCTGTTCCGTCGTGCCCCTGAGACCCCAAGCACCTCCCACAGTGAGCCACGACAGCATGGTCCAGACAGGAAAACTGCTTGCCCCCCATCATGCCCGCTCCCTCAACCCTTTCTCCGACCCCCACTATCTATCGGTACACGGAGGGCCCCTGAGCCGCAGAGGCCCAGGCCACTCAACCGCCTTCCTTTTAGAATTGGGTGGGTACCCCGGAGAGGGTAATGGGGCTGAAAGGTGGAAAGAAAGTGGAGCAGGTTGGTTACTCAAGCCACTCTTCTGTCACAAGAATGTGGGGAGGGGAGGGGAGGTGACATCGAGTCAGCACAGACCATGGTAGAATGCCCAGCCCCTGCCGAACCAAGCCTCACTGAAAGTTTAATCTAACCCTATCATGACCACCACATTGTGGAGGGGGAGCTGAGGGTTGGAGAGGGTCAAGGACTTATCCAAGGTCACCTCAAGAGTCAGTGGATCTGAGACACCTTTCAGGGTGAAGATCCTTTTAGCTCTACTTCCTGAGGGCCATATTAGCTTAGAACTGACCAAAGAGAATCTCGACAGAGGAGATCTAGTCCTGGGGTGCCAAGAACCTGTGTGGTATGGGCAGCTGCCATGCCTTTGAGGTGCTGGGCGCCATCTCTGGGTGGTGATCAAGCTCCTCTGGGAAAATTCCAGCATTGACTTACTGACTCAGCGTGGGGACGGAGCTCCTGTGTAGTGATGGGAAACACCACAGACAGCTGGGGGTGTGGAAGCAGAAGAGGCAGGTACTCAGGCAATCCAAGGAAGAGGGAGTCCTAGGGACTGCCTGCCTAGAGCATTAGTAAAGGCCAATCACTGTTCTGTACACTGGAGGTTGGTTCCTGCTGATTCTTGGGAGGGCTATTGGAAGGGTGCACAATGACAGCCGTGTGTTCCTAGAGCCCACTAAGAGAGTCAAGGGTAGCTTTCTAACAAAGTAAACTTCCACTTTGGTTTTGAAGGATGAGTAGGAGTTTGCCAGGTCAGGAAAGTGTGGAAGAGCATTTCAGTTATAAAGACCCATGTGCACATAAACACAGAGATATGAACCAGCACAGTTAGTTCAGTGGCCCATTGGAGTCCAAGGTATGAGGGAGAGCAGAGCAGAAGTTAAAGCCAAGGTCACAGTCAGGGGGGGCCCTTGTAAGCTCTGCTCAGGAATTGGGAACTTATCCTCAGTAATGGTACTAAAAATAGCTAACATTCACTGAGTGTTTTCTGTGGGTCAGGCACCACACTGAGCGCTGTTGTAAGGATCAACTCACTGAACCCTTGTATGGGCACTGCCTAATGGCCATTTTGCAGATGATGAAACTGGAGGCACAGAAAGGTTACATCTCTTGCTCACAGTTATCACCTGCTAAGTAACGGAGCTTTCGTTTGTGCCCACGTAGCCTGTTCTTTGCTCTACCACCTACCCAGGACAGACCCACAGGTCCCGCGAAAACTCTTTCAGTTGAAGGAGACCTAGCAGACAGGGTACCACAGGACAAAACCATCTTCCTTCTCTGTTGAGGAAAATGCTATCCTCCCATGCCTAGCTTTGATGCTAGGTGAGCTGCACTGCCTCATACTACATTCAGTGAGGAAATGAGCAAGTGAAGTTTGTACTGGCAACCTTGATAGAGAACTGATTTGAATCTACAGTGCATCTAAAGAGAAAAGGGTCTGATGTTCAGCAACAAGATCTTGTCTCGACGTAGAAACTTACAGTTCTCAGCACAGGGTATTTGGTGCCATGGCAATGAATTAGATTTGCCTACCCAGGGAGTCCAGAGTCCTGGTGTGGCGCTATGGGTTAATGCACTGGACTGCAAAGTCATTTGAACCACAAGGTCAGTGGTTCAAGCTCACCAGTCACTCCTCGGCAACCCTATATGGGGCTGCTATGGGTCAGAACCGACTTGACAGAACTCAACAACAACCCAGGGAGTCCTTGTGTGGCTCTGTGGGTTAATGCACTGGACTGCAAAGTCTGTTTGGACCACAAGGTCGGTGGTTCAAGCTTACTAGCTGCTCCTTGGAAACCCTATACAGAGGGTCGCTATGGGTCAGAACCCACTTAAACAACAACACCTGGAGTGCTAAGGAGCCCTGTTGGTTTAACAGTTAAGTACTTAATTGCTACCCAAAAAGTTGGCAGTTCCACCAAGGGGTTCTGCATGAGAATGACCTGGTAATTTGCTTTTACAGCGGCTCTAGTAGCATAATGGTTGTGAATTGGCACTGGTAGCGTAGTGGTTATGAATCGGGCTGCTAACCCCAAGGTCAGCAGTTTGAAACTAACAGCTGTTCTGCGAGAGAAAGACGAGGCTTTCTGCTCCGGTAAAGATTTTACAGCCTTGGAAACCCTGTGCAGGGTTGCTATGAGTCGGAACCGACTCCACGGTACTCAACAACAACAACAACATAACCCACTGCCATCAAGTCAATTCTGACTTATGTCAACCCTACAGGCCACAGTCGAACTGCCCCACAGGGTTTCCAAGGCTGTGAATCTTCAAACTGCCCACCTTTCAGTGAACAGCCAAGCACTGAACAGCTTAGAAAACCTATGGGACAGTTCTACTCTATCACATGGGGTCACTCTGACTGGAAATTGACTCCGTGAAACTTAACAACAACAACAGCACAGAGTACAGACTAGTGCTCCTCAACCCTGGTACTATTAGCATCACTCAGAAAGTTTTGGGGTGTTTTTTGTTTGTTTGTTTTTTAAAGCATACCTTTCCCAAGCTGCATCCCTAAAGATTCTAATTCAATTAACTCTGGGTGGAACCTCACTATCAGTAGTTTTAAAAGTGCTGAGGTGATTCTGATGTGCCACTAGGGTCAAAAACCACAGGTATAGAAGGAAGATGAGAGAAAAGGGTTGAGTCCAGAGTCCTGAGGAACTCCAACAGCTGAAAAGGCAGACATCTGTAGTGGGGGCTGAGTGAAGTGGGAGGCAAACCAGGAGTGAGAGAGGCCACAGAAAGCAAGGAAAATGCACAATCCAACAAGGAGGGAGAACCAGCCACCTATTTCTTTTCTGCTGAAATAGTTAAGTTCTAAGCAGTGTTCATGGATAAATTAAAAAATAAATACAAGATTATTTCAAAAGAAGTGTGCATTATTAGACTGAGCAACAGCGAGACTGCTGATGACCTGGGCAAGGGAATTTGCCTCTGGTGCACACAGAATGTGCTGCCTAACACGGACGAATCATTCATTGCTGATAAATAAATGAATGAATGACTTGGTGGGAATGGAAGCCAGTTCAGAGTGGGCTGAGGAGTCAGCAGGAGGTGAGGAAGTGGAGACAGCAAGTGTAGACAGCTCTTTCAAAGAGTTTGATGGTTGAAGAGAGAAGAGAGATAGAGGAGAGCTAGGAGGGGGTAGGGTCAAGGGAGTGTTGTTGGGAGAGTCTGAAGTGGACACTACACATGTGTGTCCATGTGGTGCATCCATGTTTGAATGCTTATAGGAAAGACGCTTTTCCTCCAGGGCAAGGGGCCCGAGGGTTGTGAGTCTGTGGGGTCTATAGAGTCTGAAGTTGCTATGGCTTGTCCAGTGGGCCAGTCAGGGAGACCCCAGATGAGATGACCTGTGTATGGATCTCTAAGAGGGAGATTTTGATGGCACGAACTGGGATTCCTGGTGGACATAGAGGGAAGGAAGGGTAGAGGGGCTTTCCCCTGAGGAGAGAAACATGTCCCAGAAAATAGTGTTTCAGGATAAGTAGTGTAGAAGAGGTACACAGGATAATATAGAGTAAAGGAACTGCAACTAAAGTTCTGTGTCTGAAGGGATGGAGGCAGAGCCCGCAGGCATTCTGCAGACAGAAGTTGCTGCAGGAGGGAGCAGAGTGGCCACAGGGAGGTGGAGACTGTGAACTGC